GGCGTCTTTGAAAATACTCAGGTGGCATGACATAACAGTCCTATTATTTGATAAACTTTAGATTATTCAGTTATTAAATGTTTGAAATTATTTGTCTTTGCGGAAAACACTATTTAAAGGCCCTTAAGGAAGGCTCTTATCGAGTATAATTTTGAAACATTTTTACTAAATATCAACACAAGATAAATTAATAGAAGCATTAGTGCAGGTTTAAACAGATTATGAAATAAAACTGAAAAGATACATTTATTTATTTATTTATTAAAATATACACTATACCCTAACAGTTTCACCAAAACACTAGACTAGCACAACACAAAACAAAACTGAGAATATTAATATTTTTTAGGTTAGCTTGGTTTGACGTTTGACTTTTTTACCGCTCGGCGCTCACCGTTCTTGGTTCCTTTCAACCAATCAAAACCCGTAAAGTAAACGCATGCGTATGAATACGCTGGTACGTCGCCCCACTTTTCGGCTTCAAGTCAATTGCAAAATGATCAGTATAGGATAGAAGTATGTGGTTATTCCAGCCGCAGCATTAGGGTTCGCTGCACGAGCTCATCCCTTCTATAAGCAGGGTTGCCGTTTTGCCAGTAATTACTGGCATTTGCCAGGAATAAAGAGTCCTGCCAGTAAATTTGCCAGGATTGACTTAACGTCAGAAATTTGCCAGGGGAGCAACATTTTCAGGGATGTCGATTTGCAAATAACCCCCAACATTTGCATTATTGCATTTGTTATTAAAAGATCATAAATAAGCATCACAGAGCACAGAGATTACTTTAATCAGTTTTAAGAATTTCGATTCACGATATCACCGCTAGATGACGATGTATCATGCTTCTTTACTATTATATTTTGTCACACTTGGCACTCGGCAGCGATCCTTGTTTAATGTTTAATATTACAGGTTACAGAGTGATAGTGATAGCTATTTATACACTGACGGGATACGACGGTTAAGACAAAGGTAATAATCACCAAAATAATAGATTAAACTATTAAATGGCCAGGAATTGCAAGTAATAATATAATTAAGTTTTGCCAGGAAATGTCAGGAATGCAATCAAGTTTCGTCAGTAATTTCGTGTCGACCTAGTGGCAACCCTGGTTACATTACTTACATTTCATTCTAATGCAATCGACTGCTTGATGTCTAAGGGGTTCTTAGTAGATTTTCACATATTAAGAAACAGAGAAACTTAAAAATCTCGACGAAAAAAAATATATTTGAGCAAACTCAACGGCATTCGAAGGAGGGAGCCTTGTACTTTTATAGCGATTTCCATTGGGAAAAATTGGGGCTGCACTTGGGCAGCACTGACACTCCACTAGTTGCATGAGAAATATGCTCTGGTGCAATCTCAATGGAATGACAATTTTTGCGTGGGTTTCTGACATTATAGGTTATGTTTATGTTTTGATTTTTATTCAGTCAAAGTAACAGTTAACCAGTTGAAGTTTTTAAAAGAAGGCAGTTACAATGAACCAAGAATTAAATTTGAAATTTAAAATAAACGACGAGAAAGTTACATTGTGTATTCCTGTAGACGAAACGGATCACTTATTTAAGTTTGTAGATGACATTTTCAATGAATCCTTCCACTTTTGCCAGTTGTTTGCTTATAATTGGTATAACATACATTTCATCATCATCACTACTACTACTTGATAAAAACGATAATAATGGAACAACATTGTCCATATTTACCGCCATTTTTTCTTGCACTGACACCGGCACCACCTCCAAGACCTCCTGCGAAATAATATGCACTCAGAGCAAGAACTGTTGCTCTAGTTTTCCAATTGAATTTGAAAATTTGCACCGACTTGTCCAATGGAACGTTAATGGTGCACTCAGTTTGCACCAGTTTTCTCAATGGAAGTCGCTATTAGATTCAATGTATTAGTTTTTTGTAAAAGAATAGATGGCATTACCTGTGGCATTACTAATACTATATAACCTCAAATATGACAAAAAGCTGTGTTTTTGCACTTTTAGTTTAGGATATATCAAAAACCTGACGTGATAGAGCAATTCTGCTGCCAGATTCGGATTCAGCGCACCTAAATCTTTCGGAAATATATATTCAAGTTTCTGCTTCCAAAAAAGTTAATTTTGTTGGTCTGTGTTATTAATTAGTNCTTTTAGGTTAGGATATCTCAAAAACCTGACGTGATAGAGCAATTCTGCTGCCAGATTCGGATTCAGCGCACCTAAATCTTTCGGAAATATATATTCAAGTTTCTGCTTCCAAAAAAGTTAATTTTGTTGGTCTGTGTTATTAATTAGTTAGATCACCTCGGTTTTAAAATTATTTAAAAAAAATTTAAAATTGAATTAGTTTTATACCTTTAAAGTAGAATAAAAAATATGGGAGCTAATAATAGAATACATATACGTTCATTAAAAAGAGTTTTCATTTAATATTAACTTCGTTCCATAGCAGGCTTGTGTAGCGGCGATTTCATCGCTACTGTAAGGAAACCCAAATGTCGTGTCGTATATGTGCTTTAAAGTTAATTTTCAGCAATTTACAGAATACATTCTGTTAAAAAAACGGAATTTGTCAATAAAACACAATATATTCAATTAAGAGAGCTCTATAGCAAATAGGCAACCAGCAATACATTTTTATATATTTTATTACACACTATCTAAACATGAATTAATGCACAAATAACATACTTTTCTCCATTCTAACGCAGATTTTCTATAAAATGGAGTTAGTTTGAAACTCATATTACTTTTTGTTGTAATGAAATTTGTAATAGGCAGCTTTTGAACAAGCAGCATCGTAAATTACAAACGGATTTTTAAATGACAAAAATAGGATACTTTTTTGCCAGAAAGTAATTAATTATACTAGGTGGCGCAAAAGTCATCACCTTATCGGAAGATGCTATAATTTAATTTTTGCAAATGGCGAATGAATACACGTCAATAAGACATGAATCGCTATACTCCTCAAGAACGCGGAATAACTGTTTCAATTTTTTTGCGTAATACGAATAATCCTAAAAATGAAGAGTAGAGAATCGTGCAGGGGAAAATTCGAGGAAAATAAAATTTAAACTTCATAGCTGTTTACATACAAGAAATATTATTCTTTTAAAAAAACGGGCATTTGTTCACAAAAATGTCTTCACAACATAACCATCAAACCAGAACTGAGGATTATTCCTATCCGATACACAGATTGACAGTTACAGAAAAACGTGCCTTTTATAATCGTATTAAAATGTATAATAAATGGCCTGTTGATATAAGAATAATTACAGACATAATAATTTTCAAAAAGAACATTTTTAATTTATTAATAGATCTGGAACCATATACTGTAGATGAGTATTTTAATAATAATAGTTTGTAAGGATGAATTGATCTCTGAAATCAATTATGTAAGTATTTCTTTTTTCTATATAGATAGTTATAAAGTTGTTAGTGCTGTAATAGCTCTGATGACGTTATTTTTATTAATGTTACTGGATCTATGCGACTGTTCTTGAAAATAAAGATTATTATTATTATTAATAATTCGTCGGTGGTGTTGGTGCAGCGTCAATTTAGATGTAGATTTCCCGGTCGTCCGCCACCAACCTAGCAAACACTACGGCGTTTAGCTGCTCGCCTAGAAAAGTATGGGACAACACGAGATGCTGTCAGGTTTCATCGAAAATCATCATGAGCGACGAGGCTCTGTGGATACGTGAATAAGCAGAATTATCGCTTCTGGGGCACCGAAAATCCGCGTATAACACACGAAGAGTCATTACACCCGCTCAAAGTTACTGAATGGTGTGGTGTTTATGCTGGAGGCGTCATCGGGCCTTATTTTTTCGAAAACGCCGCGGGCCAAACGACTACTGTGAACCGCGAGCGCTACAGAGCCATTCTCAACAACTTTCTCCTACCTCAACTGGACGAATTGGGACTGGAGAACATGTGGTTCCAACAAGATGGAGCAACGGTGCATACTGCACGACCCGTAACCGAAATTCCGAGGGCTGCATTTCCGGGTCGCCTAATCTCTTGCTTTGGTCATTTGTACTGGCCGGCAAAATCGCCCGATTTAACCGTCTAGACTGCTTTTTGAAGGGTTTGTTGAAGTCACGAGTCTATGTCAACAAGCCTCAGACTCTTGAAGTCCTCAAAGAGAATATCCATCAGGTATGCGGGAACCTATCGCCGGATGTTCTGGAAAGAGTGATGGAAGATGCCATAAATCGGGCACGTATGGTCATCAATTCTGGCGGCGGCCACTTGGCCGATATCATTTTTTCTACTTAATGAAAATTTAGACATCAAATCCAAAAACAAAACTAAAGTTTTTCATTTATTAAAAAAAATTAGTTAAAGAACATCGGGTGACAACTTTCCGCCACCTTGTATAATTTCTTGCTCATCAATTCAACTAATCTAAAAAATATATCTCTCTTCAAATAAACTGGACTCTGAGTTTGAAACGACCAATAAAAAAGTGGCACCACCCTTAACAAATAGTATAAAAAAAAATGTCTTTAAAAAAACACCAGTCTATGCCAAATAAGACTGTTTTCCACTTTGGTTATAACCTATTTAGTCACTCTCTTTAAAATTCGTCGTAACATCGCGTTCCGCGTAGGGCAAAAACGTCACTGGTACAAATTCGCCTTCGGAAACGACTTCATGGACATCTTGCCTGTGCCGCACGAGACTGTTCTTGTACTTCGTTCCGAAATCACACTTATCACACGTGTACATTTCGACCTCCGAATTGCCTTTGTGTGTTAGATTGTGACGCGTAAGGCTGAACTTCCGCTTCGTTTCGAAATCACAAATCTGACACTTGTAAGTCGCCACTTCTGAGAGGTCTTTGTGCGTCAGTTGATGGTTCATAAGTTTATCCCTCCGCTTGGCTACATAACCGCACATTTCGCACTGATACAAAGGCACCTCCGAACCGTCTTTGTGTTTCAGCTGGTGCTTGGTCAGGTTGCTCTTCTGCTTGGATTCGTAGTCGCACTGATCGCACGGGTACATCCTTATCTCGGAACGGTTCTTGTGCGTTCGTTGGTGGACGGTGAGATGGCTCTTCTGTCTCGTTTTGTAACCGCAAGTGGGACACTCGTAGGTTGGCACTTGGGATATGTTTCTGTGCCTCAGCTGGTGGGGCAGGAGGTTGTTTTTGTGGCGGGTTTTGAAATCGCAAGAATCACACAAGTACACCGGTACCTCCGACAGGTTTTTGTGTATTTTCTGATGACGCTTGAGGAGAATCTTCTGTTTGGTTTCGTAACCGCAAACGTCACATTTGTACGTAGATGCCTCCGATTTTTCCTTGTGTGATGGTCGGTGGCCCTTTTGATTGGAAATATCTTTGTGCTTTGACTGAGTTTTCAAATCATCTGTGTACTTAGCTTTGCCTTCAACGGCTTCAGTGTCGTTGTGGTGGAGAGCATCACTGAAAAAAATGAGAAATTATGCACAGTCTAATTCAATGGGCCTTTAAATCACAACATCGGCCAACTTGGCTAAATTTTTTTATATAAGTCAATTTGAGGTACATAATAACAATAAGTGACAGTAATTTTTTTGCAACCCGCGACCAAGATAACTCAAAAGTGGCAAATATGGATGTGACGCATGCGCATTGACAAAACAACACTGTAATGTAAGCGACAATAGCGAACGTAACTTTTTATCTCTGTATCTCCGTCGTGGCAATGGAGGCTAAATAAAATTCAAAAGGTAAATAAATTTGTACCTGCCTGAAAAAATCAGTTAAAAGAAATTTTTTAAAGCAACACTTCATTATTTTAAATAATGGATCGAATGGTATAAAAAAATTGTTTTAGTGTTGTCAAAATTGACAATTAAATTGTTAAATTTGTTAATTTTTTATTAGAAATAAAATATCTATTTCTCTGAAAAGTTTATATTTTTTACTTTAATATGAAACTTTGTTTTCTAGGTCTTACTCCTTTTGAGTTATCTTGAAAAAACAGTTAATTTAATTTTTTTCACCCTTGAACGGAGGTTGAAAAAAAAAATACTGTTATATCAAAAACTTAAGCTAGTTTTTATGGACAGTCGGTCTTAGTCATAGACCTAGTAAACTATGGACTGGCCCTAGAAAGAGAGGTCAATCGTGCTGATGTGTGCAAGGCAGATGAAGCTAGTTGAGGCAAATACCTGTAAAACAAATGATGGTACACGGGTATACCGTTACAAAATGCCGTAAACAAACTTTGAAGTAAATGTCATGTATCGACATGATTGATTGATTTCTTGTATTTTCGTGTGATTTAGTTAGTGTATGTGAAAGATTCGTAAAAACTAAATATGGTTCAATCGTATTTATACTTTTCGCATCTTTCTGAAAATAATGATCAAGTAGAGTTGTCTCCATAGACCTTATAAACTACGTTATCTCCAATGATTATCTCTGGTTATCTCCTCAAAATAAAATGTCATTTTAACGTCCAAATTTTGCCGCTTTAAATGTGTTACTCTTCAAATTATTTTTTAACATCAAACCGAATATAACGAAAAAGTTTTAACTGAGATGTGCTTAGCAAAAATTCTCTTCAAATAATATGTTAAACGAAGAAAGCTTCGACATAGTTTCAATTTATACAATTCTGAAAGCAAGAAAATATGAAATATTTGAAACAACTACATCAGAAGAGCTTGCAGTAATTTTAACCGATCGAGTTTACGATATTGTACTGTAATTAGGCCAGTAATATAATAAACCCTTTTAAATACATACACTGCTGGAAAAAATGAATTTCTTTTGTCTTTTAGTCTATATATTATTTTTATAAAGTCTTTGAATACGGCCCAATAGAAAAAAGGGGTAAGGAATCGAGTACAACTATCTGATTGGTTGAATTAAATGTAGCGCGCTGCAGTCGAAGTTCTGTGAACGAAGCTTAAGCCCTTACTAGCTCCATCTCTCTCGCACACGTCTGAGCGATTGCCATTTATATAGGCAAAATGACAGTTGGGCGAGTCCAGTAGTTTATAAGGTCTATGGTCTTAGTTCAGTCAAATTAGTCATAAAAATAGTGGTCAAATAACGAAAATTCCGACAGAGCTAAATTTTGGTGGAGACCTTGGGTACGCCATTAGAAATAAAGTGTCAAAAGTCCCCACCGATCCCATGTATGATAAAAAAAGTTATTCGGGGTCAAAGATCAAAATTTGAGGTTTTTTGGATTTTGTTCGAGAACTGTTTAAGTTTAATCAAAAAGTAGCCCAGACAAAAATTATAGATCTTAAAATTATCATTTAGACGAAAATTATTAACCNGGGGTCAAAGGTCAAAATTTGAGGTGTTTTGGATTTTGTTCGAAAACTGTTTAAGTTTAATAAAAAAAGTAGCCCAGACAAAAATTATAGATCTTAAAATTATCATTTAGACGAAAATTATTAACCCATTTTTTTGACCGGATTTTCCTGTTTAAAAAATTCTATTACGTCATATAACATGAATACCTCTTCAGTTATCGCAGCCTACTTTTCGTTACTTTTTCTGGCATTAAATTTGACAAAAATTTGTTGGTAAATTTTATATTTAAAATCTGACCATGCCACTGGATTCTACATCTTAATGTGATTTGTACCAAATTTCGAGAAAAGAAGAAATTTTGCTGGTTTAATATTTTCAACCACTGAGAATACATTTAAACCTCAAGTCCAATTCCTTAAAATTCAATCTTACCCATCTTCATTTTCGTCGTGTTCTGTTTTTATTTCAGTGACTTCCGTCTTAATACAGAACGCACTCTCTGCATCTCTGTTGCTATAAATTTGTTCAATTTGCTCATCTACATCTAAGTCCTTCAAGAAATTGCTGTGAGTATTCAAGGAATCCAGACAAGCCCTGCATATAACTGGATCTTCAGTTGAGCTAAAGTTCTACAAAAGATAAACTTATTAGTAAGGGTTACTGAAAATTTTAGCTTTCAAATAATATCATCTCAATAGTAATAACATAATAAATAAATAAAGGTTTGTCACAAAATTCCTTAAACATCAATTATTATTTTCAATGGGGCATATTACAAAATGAACCTTTCTGTAATATGCTCCACTCTGTATAAGAAACTATACTATACGTACTATTTCTGGAATATATCTTATGATAATATCAGCCTCTATATCGCATACTGAAACAAATCCGGATGTGACTATTTGCATACAGAGTCGACAGATCTTTTCATCCCCCGATAGAACTGTTAAATGTTCTTTACTTCTTTCCTTTAGATAAATTTCTCTTAGGTCGACCAGTGCCAAATTTCCAGAGTTGACATAAGGAAAAATACAGTGTTCTGTATTCATGCAGGTTATCTTGAATTCAAATGCCGCAAACAGTTTTTTGGAACAGGAGTCGCACGTTACAGGCTGATCGGTTCCTTTCGTATTCTGAAAATACATCACGACAGAGGAGCTTTAATTTCCAAAAAAATTATGTCAAGGTTTAACTAGAAATACTTTTATACTATATTTTTTTTACCAGTTTTATTAGAAGTGTGTCTACGGCTTCCTTAAGAGTTGCATCTATTACTTTAAAATTTTCATTATTATGTATAACGCCGAGGCAAAGCCCGCATAATTTTTGTTTAAACTGTTCCATTTATGATCTGTTTTATTTTTGTTCATACTGTTTACTATTAAACAAATTGACATAACGTCACAGTCACTGTTATTAAGTTATCAAAAATATCAAAACAGAAAACATGGAGTGGAGAGATAAGGAGGATTTGTCTGTATGTAAAGTGTGAAAATTTAGTACAATTAAGATGGCGCTACTTTAGTTAAAGTTCAACATTATGATTTGAAACCATGGTATAACTAAATTTGAAACGAAATAAAGGAATCATAGACTTTATAATAAGGTATATGAAAGGAATTCTACCTTCTATCTAATCTAATCGAAGTTTTTTTCCTCATTGGAATTGAGTTCAATTGAGGTTATGCTCCAACCAGAGTTGCCAGACGTAACAATTTATCGCTAACATCAGGGAGACTAGATAGTCTCCATGGCTAACATGCTCGAATGGCTTCCAAAAATTTCATATGGCGACTGGTGATTTTTAATATAATTAAGGCGACCAGCTGTTTGACTTTTAGTTAATTTTCTAAATGATGGTATTAATTATTTGTACCTATGGTGTCACTTGTTTTTCCATTACATGGTAACGATATTTACCGAAATATTTGATTTTTTAAATATTTGGGAATATTTTAGCCCCAAAAAATTAATGTGATGCCATCTAACATAATATTTTAACAACGTTACCTTTTAGTTTAAACAGATGGCGACTTTTGGCTACTGTATTTCCATCTAATAATTCTAATAGCGATGATAGATAAAATTCCTCTGGCAACCCTGGTTGTTATAACATAACATATTTAATGTTTAATGTATTTTTAATGCGGTTTTTTCTGTGATTGAATTTTGATAGAAAATGAATATCAAAATGGAAAATACATGCAGATTGTGCCTTAATAACATCACAAATAGTATTGTTGAAGTCATCGGGAAATTTACCATTGAAGCCTTAGATCTGATCTTTCAGAATTTGGTGAGGACAAGTTATTGACGTTGTCTTTTTATTCTAAACACTCATAAATACTAATAATGTACTCGCACGATCAGAGTATCTTTTTAAACACAATTCCTTCAGTGGTGCACAGAAACACGAAATGTTTGTAGTTTTTCCAAGATTTTTTAGGTTAATTTAGTGTAAATGTCAAAACAATGTTTTTAAACTTTCAGATAAATAATCGTTTTGTTTTCAGAATTTGAATGTAAGCGAGAAACCTGTAATGTGTAACACTTGTTCAGATCACCTTAAGAAGTCTTTTGACTTTAAAAGTATGTGCCTCGGTGTCGAAGACAGCATCAAACGTTTTGCCGATAGAAAAGGTGAAATAACCTTATCAGAAGTTTATAAAGAAATTAGAGAAAACGTGGATACGACAGATTTAGAGGACAAGGAAATCTGCCGATTTTGTTTGAACGTAGTAGCAAATAATTTTAAATCGTTGAAAGAGGATGCAATTGCAGATATGACGCTCGAGTACATACCAGAATTGGTGAGTCCTACATTATTATTAATTCAGTCCTGCTATTGACTTTTCAATTTAGCTAATTCAAACTGAATTTTCGTATAATTTTGTAAATCATCACAATTTACATAGTGGATATGAATAAGGTGCAGATTTCACCATTCGTTCAAGCATAAAAAAACCTAACCTAACCAATATTTTCATTTTAAACAATTATGGATCATAGATCACTTAAAGCATATGTCACATGTCACATTTTAATGTCATTGCAACTTGATGTCTACTAACACAAAGCCTTGTTTTGTACCTACAGTCACAACTTACAAGTGTGAATCTCTAGTACTGAGTTTGTTTAAAAGGTTTCAGCGCAACTGGTGGGTGGACCGTACGCTATTTTTTTTTAGTAATCATTGAGCTCTTCATATTACGGATATTTCATTTTTAGAATGCTGATTATGTTAAATTAACATTATTAATAACATAAATGTAGTGCAGACCGTAAGTTATTAAACAATAATGGAATGTTTACAAAATTATTTAATTTTAAACAAGAACTTACATACTTATTAGCAATTAAATAAAATATTGTGGCAGCATTACCTAATTTTTAATTCAAATATGAAGAAATTTTTTATTTTATCTAGAAAATTTTTCTCTGTATAATCCGTTTTTTCTACACTAAACCGCGGTAAATATGAAATGGCATTTTAAAATTAGATAAATTTGCCAGAAATCAAATCAAAGTAACAGTTAAATTCATAATTAAAACTTTGTTACAATAAGTTAAATGTCAGTAAATATCATACCAGTATTCACAACATTTGCAAAAAATTAAATTATTCATATTTTTTATTTCCAGGACTAACTTTAAATTTTCTTCCAGAATTTGAATATTTCTCCAGACCCCGTTCTGTGCCTACCTTGCTCAGACGCTTTTAGAAGTTACGTCACTTTCGTAACTAGTTGCTCTAATGTAGAAGAAGAAATAACTAGGTATCTTCATACCGTCGGAAGTGATTCAAATGGCTACATAGAACTAGCAGAAGTCACACGATTTGCCCAAAAAAACCTAGACAGCGTCACCAATTCCAGTCCAACAACGGTAAAACTAGAAACAGCATCAATGGAGAAAATTAAATGTGAGAAGTATGACGAAGATTGCTTTACGCCAGTGGATTTCGTTAAAACGAAAGTGTGTAAGGAAGATGTAGATGAGGACACTTGTATGGAGTCCTTGGGATATACAAAGTGTGAAGACGAGAGCGGGAAAGAGTGTAAATCAACAGAACTGTTATTAGATGATGTGAAAACGGAAGATTGTGATACCAGCGAGGGGGGCGATGATGAGGGATACATCCGTTACGACGATCGTTTGGATTTGAGCGTCGAGAAGGCAAAGGCTGAGTTGAAAAGGGATGCACAAGATCCTAACAGGTAAAAGTATAGTTATGTGATAATTTGAAGAAAACTTTGAATGGCTAGGGTCATTTTTATGCAGAATGTGTTCTTTTTAGCTGTAGATTTACCGGTACCATTTGTGCTACTTTTGAAAATACTCTGTATACACATTTTATATGTATCATTATTCTTTTCCGTTTCCAAAATCATTCTGATCTATAGTTTCTTATCATTTATATAATCCAAAAAAATTATATGGACAAATTATGAAAACATCAACGTATCTCCAACAAATCATACGGTTTTTGTAAAAATTATTAACATAATTGTTTTGAGAATATCCTATAAATATATTACCTAATATTGGGGATATGGATGATCCCATAAACATAAATTTTATTGATAGAAATCGTCTTAATAAATAATTTCTTTTTATGTATAAAGTAATAGACCAATCAATCGTGTTTGTGAAAAAAATACTAGTAGCAAACGGACTGTACCATCATGTAAAAGGCAGTCTGTAGATATATGCTTATATCTTTTCTACTTTAATTTACTATTAATTAATTTTTTATAAACATTTTTATGCAAAAAACGCAATTATTTTAGTTATTTGCTTATAAAACCTAAACTAACGAAGCAATCTGGATGCTATAAAGAGACAATTTATAGAGAATCGAAATACGAATAAAACAAGATGTCGATCGCTATAAAGTGCACCAAAAAATTACAACTTAAAAAATGCAGGAGAAATTAATTTAAAAAAAAAACGCGAAATTTTCCGATTTTTTCGGGTTTTCTTCGTTTCTAATTTGTTACTTATATTTGATCTATTAGCCAATTAATTTTGTAATTTGTTTTTGATGTTTTATCTATGGAACATTGATAAATGTTCTGACAGAGAGTGACCTACTAATCCACAGGTACTGTGTCATATTAGGAGAAATAAACTTTTTAACTAGTGATATTGTATCTTGTAATGTCATTAATGTAACCAAGCATTGCTTTGATTTTGTTTTCCACATTGTTATTATTTATAAATTTATTTCACTCAGTGAGTCGCAAGCCATATTTCCATAACACCTACATATTAGTAGGTTGCTCTCTGCCAGTAGGCATAATTAGTTAATCTCAATATGTTTGTGTTTATTTTCAGTTTCCAACCTTCCTTGCCTGCTAAACACGAACATCCACTAGAACTACACTCCTTTGGCTACGACCCTCCCCTCTACCATCTCAACGCATACGCGGCGTCGCCAGGAGGCCAAGACGAGGTCTCAGACCAATCGCAGAAGTTAACATCGACTCCCACTCCCCACATACCGACCGACGAGAAGTATAAATGCGACACCTGCGGCTACCGAACGAAATACGAGGCCTACCTAACGAGGCACCTACAGAAACACAAGGACAAACCCGCACCCCTCAAGCCGGGCAGTAAAATCCGTTCGGCGAAGCGAACGCAGCGCCCAGACGACCAGATATTGAAATGCGACTTATGCGACTACGAAACCGCCCACAAGTACCGCCTGAGACAGCACGGTTTGACCCATATGGACCCGTCCGAGGTGCCGTTGCACGAATGCGAACAGTGCGGTTTTAAAACGAAGTGGAGGAACACGCTGCGGAAGCACTCGTTGCGACACAAGGATAGCTCGGAAGTGACGATGTATTCGTGCGAGTTCTGCGAGTACACGACAAAGTGTAGGAGTTACCTGTTCCAACACTCGCTGGTGCACCGGGAGGCCCCCGTGCACAAGTGCGGCAGCTGCAGCTACGAGACCAAGTACAAGTCGTACCTGACGAGGCACCTCCTGATGCACAAGAACCCCTCGGACATCTACAAGTGCCCGGACTGCCAATTCAAGACGTACTCGGAGGTCAGCATGAGCAAGCATGCGACGAAGCACGGCGACGCGTCGAAGAGTCCCAGATTTAAATGCGAGGTTTGCGGGTACCACGCGAACCGCCAGTCCAGGCTGAAGGCGCACATGTTGACGCATCAGGACCCGGCCGACGTTCACATCTACGAATGCGACCAGTGCAAGTTCCAGACGAAGTGGCGGTGCACGTTCAACAAGCACCGCTTGGCGCACGACACACCGTCGCAGGCGCTCACGTATTCCTGCGACTTGTGCGAGTATAAAACCAGATCGAGGGTATACTTGAACAAGCACTCGATGGTGCACAAGGATTCGTCGGAGATAGAGATGCAACGGTGTAAGTTGTGCGGCTTCCGGACCAAGACGACTCAGTACCTCCGTTCGCACATGTTGACCCACGTGGACATGGCGAAGCTGGACGAGGCGGGGGGCGTGGTGAACGGCGAGAAGATTCAGGTGTACGAGTGCGACGTTTGCCAGTATAAAGCGAAGCGCAAGGGGCAGCTCGTCCAGCACATGTCGAAGCATACGGCAGGGGAGGTGAAGATGTACAGGTGCGAGACGTGCGGATTCGAGACTAAGTGGACGCAGAGTTTGAAGGCACACAAGAGGTCAATGCATAAGTGAGTTTTACGGTTTTTTGAACCGGACCGGTGGATAAATTGCGCGCAGGTCAGGGAATCGGCTTGCAATATTTTGTATTGTGTGACTTAAGGGGGTTAGTGTCTTTTTTTTGCCCGTTCAAGAGAAAACAATGAAATTTGGAAGCGAGTATTGTGAGAATGGTTTTAAAAACCCGTATGGTGAATTGTGGTCAACTTTTAATTTAACTTTTTCGTATAGGGACTACTCTTAAGTGCTACTATATGCTGCTAAGTGCTACAACCCCTTACGTCAAAACGATTGGATATTTTCATTATGTCACGATAATACTTTTTGCGTAACAATCTCTGCTGTCGATATTTTTTTATTTTTAGTCGCAAAATAGAGAGATTTGTGATGACAACTATAGTTTTTCCGAAGTCAATTGAAGAACCAATAATTTCAAGGTATGTATCAGGCTCGGTCGCTAAGCAGCAACTAGGCATTGAAATATTTGAAAAACTTGTTCCCACATTTATTCACTCATACCCATATACAGGTCTGGTCGAACGAAACGTGCAGGTGGTAGAAATGTATACGCTCAGTTGAAGAATGAGCGTGCGGGCAAACAGCAATACGCACTGGTGCTCTGGTCCATTGCGTCATAAAATTCAGTTGTCGATAAGTCGCCTGGCAGTGCAGTGCGGCAATGCGGAATTTGGTGTGATTCAGATAATTTTAATTTATTATGGGCACCCTTCTATTAATCATTGATATTACAATTGGGAAAGGGAAAAATAAGAGGGATATTTGGTTTACTAATATTATTACAACATGGCATTTTGAAGACCTTTTGAAACGGAACAAAACGAAATTTACCATCGATATAATAAAATTGTTTGAGGACATAAATAATTAAAATAACACATCGTTCAATAGGTCCCGGGACTAACTATGAAAACAACATTTTATCCGCAAAATTCTTTATTATTCATCAACATAATCTCCTTCAAGTGTAATACAATCATTCCAACGCTTCTCTAACTTTTCAATGCCATGTTTGTAGAACGATTTGTCTTTTGACTCAAAATGAGCCTCAGTAGCAGCGATCACCTCCTCATTCGAGCCAATTCTTTTTCCCTGGAGCATCTTTTCGAGATCCGCAAAGAGCCAGTAGTCGCTGGGGGCCAGATCCGGCGAGTACGGAGGATGGGGAAGCAGTTGGAAGCCCAATTCGTTGAATTTGGTCATCGTTTTGATTGACTTGTGGCACGTGTGCGTTGTCTTGATGAAAGATGACTTTCTTCTTCTTCATGTGTGGACGTTTTTTCGCTTTTGAAGTCAGCATACCACCGACAAATGGTTGTTTTCGACGGAGTAGAGTCCGGATAACGTTTTTCAAGCCATTGCTGAGCTTGAACAGTGTTTTTTCCCATTAGAAAACAATGTTTTATCAACACACGAAACTCGTTTTGGTCCATTTTTTCACGATTGCAAAGGTAGCGTCACTTTAACCACTATAGCTTTCTTGGTTATGTTTCGAATTACATCAAATTTTGACACATCTCATCTAAAGGTTGGTACTTCTGAACCTTGGTATATACATGGCATTATTAGCGCCATTTCTACGCTAGTCCCGGGACTTATTGAACGATGGTTATGTTGTTGGTCAAAAGGTCAAATGAACATATAATAGAAATTTTCTACACATTATATACAAATTATTATAATTTTCTACCTTTAGCAGAAAACGTTTTTAAGGATACCCATGAAACTCTTTAAATTTGATTGCTCGGTTTTTTTATGCATGTTCAACTGGCTTCGGAAAAACTATACAATAGTAGAGTTCTATTATTTCTTTAAATAAGGAGGTTCCTAGTAGAACGATCGAAATAATTTATTTAGAGGAAAAAAAAAAGAAAGTTGTTACCTGGACTTATTATATTATTATAAGTGGAAATGGTAAAGGGGCTTATAATAAATGAAAATAAAATAAATGCGTGAGCAGGGGTGGCGGAGGGTTGATTTGGGGGGTTGAAAACTTGTAAAAAGTTGTATCATTGGGATTTCTGGCGAAAATTGACGTCAAACAAAAAAGTATTTCATATAAAAGTTGTAGATCATGCAAAAATCTACAACTTTTGTAGGGATCACTTTTTAAGATAACCTCAAAATTTCCGAGAAAAATGCGAAAAAGTTTTTTTCATATTTTTCGTTTTTTATTTCCCATTTCTGAAAAAATAATTTAATTTTGACGAAACTTGGTGAAAGTATACCTTTCTGTCTTATATAACCACAAATTTTTTTAGATAAACAAATCAAGAAGTTTCCAAGATACTCATTTTTTTGGTCTGAAATACTTTCTTTTCAAAGAAAAATTGTACTTAGAAAATTCATCGTACAGAGTTCTGCCCGTGATCATTTTTTTCGTTTTGACATACACTTTGTGGTGAAATAAAAAATCTGTAGTCACTGTTCAACAACATGCTCAAAAATGCAAAAAAAAATAAAAAATGACGCAACAATAAATTGTTCAGTAATTGTTGATAATTTGTTTAAATTAAAAAAAACTGGTTACACCATTCAATTCTACGGAAAAAAATACAAAAAACCTGTTTGACTCAAAACTTTATTTTTGTATTTCTATAAACATCAAAGTCGGATAGTGAATAAATAAAATAAATATTTTTTCTCCGTAGGATCGATCAGTGTACTTATTTTATTTTTTTAATTTTGATGAATTCATACATATACAGTGTGTCCAAGATAAAGATGGGATAGCATTAAGATCTAGAAAACAGTAAGAGATATGAGGTGGCTCAGATTACAAAAGAGTTGTGTCTTTTTACACCTAACAATATGCCATTTAGAAAGTTTTAAAATTCCTGGTAGTTCCGGAGATATCCGGAAAAACCCGAAATTATGCAAAACTGTAAAATTTTTTTCTGCCTTTATTTGAAAACGAATTTTAAAATAAATTGCATATCTACAATGCCACTTTTTTCACCCTATACAATAGCGCCAACATTTTTGCAACGTTTTGTCTTTGAGGGGCCATCATCAGGTTAATTTTTTTAAATACGACGTTGCTATTTTTATGATAAAATCTAAAGCATTTTTAATTCCGATTTCGATGTTTTTAGCTTGTTTTAGCTATAATTTAAAATTTTTCCTGAGTACGGCTCTGAACGCTTTCAAAATATCTATTGGATGAAGTCATATCAGTATAAACGTCAATACGGCACAAAATATCCAACAATTTTTTTTTACTACTATTAGCAATACTAATTATAAATAATAAAACATTTCATAAATTCGTATTATTTTTTTATTAGGTACGACTTTAAATTATTGATTAAAAAAATTGTTGGATATTTTGTGTGGTATTGACTTTTATACTATTATGACTTCCTCCAATAGATATTTTAAATGCGTTGAGAACCGTACTCAGGAAAAATTTTAATAATATTTAGTAGTATTATAGTTTAGTAGTAGTAATTTAGTAATGTTATCTAATTCAGAATTAAAAATAACTTTAGATTTTGTCATAAAAATAGCAGCGACGTATTTAAAAAAATTAACCTGATGATGGCTCCTCGAAGACGAAACGTCGGATTGCAAGAATGTTGATCGGTTAGAGCGAAAAAATGACAATGTAAATATGCAATTTATTTTAAAATTTGTTTTCAAATAAAACTAGAAAAAAATAAAACGAATTTGCAAAATTTCGGGTTTTCGGGTTTCGCGTCAACAGTTGAGTTTGCAGTTAATACTGAGAAATTCATTGTTGCAAGTAATTTTTTATTTTTTTTGCATTTTTGAGCAAGTTTTTGAACTGTGATTACAGATTTTTTCTTTGAAAAAAGTGTTTCAGACCAGAAAAAATGAATATCTCGGAAACTTCTTGATTTTTTATCTAAAAAAATTTGTGGTTATTTAAGACAGAAATGTATACTTTCACCAAGTTTCGTCAAAATTAAATTATTTTTTCAGAAATGGGAAATAAAAAACGAAAAATATGAAAAAAACTTTTTCGCATTTTTCTCGGAAATTTTGAGGTTATCTTAAAAAGTGATCCCTACAAAAGTTGTAGATTTTTGCATGATCTATAACTTTTATATGAAATACTTTTTTGTTTGACGTCAACTTTCGCCAGAAATCCCAATGATACAATTTTTCACAACTTTTCAACCCCCCAAATCAACCCTCCGCCGCCCCTGCTCACGCATTTATTTTTAGGATTATTATAAGCCCTTTTACCATTTCCACTTATTGAAGTCCAGCTAACAATTTTTTTTACTATAGGTTATATTTTAAAAACTAACTTTTATATTGTTATAATTTCATACTGTACTATTTCATGCTGCACACTCAACTTGAATAATAAAAGATGGAACTAGTTTCATTTCAAGAAAATTATATACTTCACGGTCGAAATTATGGAGAGTCACTCAGACATAATGTAAAAACACTATTACCATAAAGCGTATAAAATATAAAATGGTTTTTATAACACTATTTGTCTATTAGTGGGTGTAAACGGACGTACGTAGTACTTTGTTGAGCACCACAACAGTTATCTTTTCCTGTAATTTCATCCAATTTCAGCCAAATTCGTTATTTTTATTGCACATTTTTTTTTCACCGCTAATTTTGCAATAAAAAAAAAATTTGCAAGCTTTCGCAAAATCCTATCCTTGTAACAAATTTCCTCAGGAACAAAATCGATAAGTATACCTCATGTCGATTGGAAGCTTATTTTCGGAGATATAAGCGAAAAATTGAAAAAAGCAATTATTTTTTTTTCATTTGTTATAAACAATATGACGCTCGACCTCTATGAATACACAAATTTAGGGTTTTAATCTGTGTATTTTTTACTTAATTTTAAGCCCATAAAATTCAACGTAGGCTCGATTTGTGAAAAAAAAACCTAATTCGTCCGGACTGTTAATCAATTTCAAGTAATCACTGTTCTAAAATTAAATAGATTTCAGGAAATGGCAAATCATGGAACGTTTAATCAGGGTTTTGGTTAACCATGCTTGATATCGGAACACAACCTCGATAATTTTGGAGCGAGGAGGACTATCCCGCTAGTAAAGTGCCACAAAACATGTCTTCATTAAATCTAATGGTATCCCATTAGAATATATTAAAATAATGATCACTAAATAATAAAAACAACAAATATTGTTAAAGCATTTACTGTTGTATAATTATAAAATTAAATGAGGCATTTTAAGGTTACAAATGTCACAAATATACAGTTACCTACAAGTATGAGTATATAATTTATTATTTATTATATTTAAGTACTTATGTTTAATTAATTAACAATATATATTTCAAATAATAATGGGTATACGAAGTGGAGGATGGAATTCTGCAACAACTCTTTGGAGTCTTCACTGAAATTAAAAAATAAAATTAATCCTAATATTTGTGAAATTAATCAATTCAAAAGTAATATTATGAATAATAATAATAATGATAATTTCATAAATACATATAAGTTATCTTCACACTTTTATACGCGTCGCCAGTAAAAAGATAAGGTATTTGGGCATTTTATTAATCGGTTATAGAATTAAACAGATTGCATAGTTAATAAATGAAGTGAGTAAATCTGATTTTAGCGCAACTCACAATCAGAATTTATTAAAATATTTCCCGACATCCTCCATTGATGATAAGCCCCTCATTACGCGCACCTTTCGCAATTTTCGTACAAAATATGTTCATAATAATGATTTAACTTCATCAACTGTGAAGTGATAATTGAAAAGTTCAGGGAGACTGGATCAATTAGCAGTCTTAAACACTGGCCGTCCTTCGACATGTCGTTCAACACAAAACATAGGAGTTCGTGAGAGTATTGCTGAGAGTCCAGGAACATCATTTTGGCATCGTGGTTTTGAATTGGATATTTCCAGAAGCTCTCTACAGCGTATTCCTAGCGTATTCTCACGAAAGATTTGCATTTTCATACAAGTTCAATTGACAAGTGAAGAGAGTTCGTTGAATGGATTATGGAACAAGTGAAACGCTGATTTTTCGAACAAAATCATCTTTACCGATGAGACTCTTCTTCATCTTGACGGCGATAATCCACGAGTGATTGTTAAGAAACAAATGCATCCACAACGTATTACCGTTTGGGGCGGATTTTGGGATGGAGGCAATAACTGTTTATCGCGACATAAACCAGTTTTTTGTGCCTAAATCGCAAGATATGGTCGTCGACGACATGATTATGGTTTCAACAAGACGGTGACGTGATACATGCCATACATCCAGCCCGATATACCATTAAAATTACTGCGTGAGTCATCATTTCCTGGTAGTTTGTGGTTTATGATACCAAGAACGGAAACGGATACGAAAATTAAATTAATTACGTAAATGTGTGTCATCACTTTCCTTCAAATACCAAATAGCTATAACAAACCCTATATTTAAATCGCCGCTCAAACTCTATCAAATGGTATTGTTAGATCGTCTCCATGGTAACATATGTTAAAATTGCTATAGTCAACTATTTTTGTTCAAATGGCACACTATATTTTTTTATCAATTCTGGGGATATTTCTTTTCTATACAGGGTGGACGCGACGTAATGGGCCAAAATTCATGGGTAGATTCCCCAAGTAAAAATATTGTGATTTAGCCGAACTTACCTTAGTCCAAAATTTGATAGTTAAGGAGGTATAGGGTGTTAAATGTAAAATATTATTTCAGTTTTTTTTTAATTTATTCCTTAACAAATGCAAATATCCTCACAAAATTTTGGGGATTGGAGTTCGTTGAGTAGAGGAATTGAAATCTGTTCACATTTTGGTTAAAGTTCATAGAGGGCGCTAGCTGCAGTAGATTGAATGTGTTAAAAACGACATAACTTTTTTGTGCTTTAAGGTATCTCATCTTTGGTTACAAATTCTTATTTTCCAACTATTTTTACACAAAAAAGGTAGACTTTATGAAAGTAGCTGTCTCGCACCGTTTCCGAGATATTTGGCTTTGAAACTTCCAATGCTAATAGTTGAAATAATTAAAATAATTTAGAAATGTCAAAAACAAGGGTTTATTTAGAATTAAAAATTGTAATGAACAGTAAAATAGTAAACATTAGTAAAAAAATATGCCTTTTTGACAATAATTGCTTAAAATATCCACCTCTAACTTCAATACATTTATCAACACGTTTATTAAAAGATTGTCTTATTTTAAAGTATAAATCCTTAATGCGAAATGACTTTGCAGCATTTAAAACCTGCTACTAAAGTTCTTCTCAAGTGTTTATAGTTTCTCCATAAACAACTGATTTCATGTAACTCCAAAAACGAAAACCTCGGCATTCTATCTCACATTTATGTACGAGTATACAATTTAATTTGTAAGCTAAGATGTGATTTTAATTAGATACGAATAATACTTAATAGAAATTAGCATACAAATGACAGTAATAAGACAAGTGGAAGACGTCAATTATTTGATTTGCGTCCAAATCCTACTTAAGAAACTTTACCACTAAATTAATAATACCTGTAGGTACTTAATTGTAATTTAATGCAACAGCATTGGAAGTTTCAAAGCCAAATATCTCGAAAACGGTGCGAGATAGCTACTTTAATAAAGTATACCTTTTTTGTGTAAAAAAAGTTGGAAAATAAGAATTTGTAACCAAAGATGAGATACCTTAAAGCACAAAAAAGTTATGTCGTTTTTAACACATTCAATCTACTGCAGCTAGCGCCCTCTATGAACTTTAACCAAAATGTGAACAGATTTCAATTCCTCTACTCAACGAACTCCAATCCCCAAAATTTTGTGAGGATATTTGCATTTGTTAAGGAATAAATTAAAAACTTTTTAACTATCAACTTTTGAACTAAGGTAAGTTCGGCTAAATCGCAATATTTTTACTTGGGGAATCTACCCATGAATTTTGGCCCATTACGTCGCGACCACCCTGTATAAAGAAGTCTATAGTTTCATTAGAAATATTGCTAGAAAAACAGCAAAAAGATGAACCCTACTTTCAGTAGCTTTATTCTGAAAAATGATAGCCAGCTGCGGAAACAACAGAATTTTGACGTTTCTAAATAATGGTTTTTCAAAATAATTGACATTTTGTACCTACCTATTCTATCTACAGGGTTAACTATCACTTACAGTACATAAATTTTAAGTGAGGATAGAGTAAAACAAGATTTAACAGAATCGACCTTCAAAAAATTTCCAAAAGTGTTTTTAAAGTTGAAAATATATGTTTTCTAAACCTCAGTGAAACCCCTATTTCATGACGACTATAGCTACGTTCGGCAAACTGTTACGGATTAGGAGTGGAGTGGATTGGGAATGAATTCAGAATTTTTAAGAGTGCACAGAGCAAATTATAAACGGACGGTTTCAGAATATGGAATCTGACGTTTGACAAGAGAAAAAAAATTAGGTTAGATGTTTTATGTTCATGATTTTCCTTTTGCAATTGTGAATTATGTTCGTGAAATATTCGATGATTCTTCCGAGGAAGGGGAAATCATTGAAAAAAGTTGACCGATATGCCGAATATACGGCACCACATTAATTAAATTATGTATATTTGTTTTAGCAAAGCACAGAACATATACACTATAGCAAAGTTTATAGAAATAGTATCACATACCAATAACAGAGAAATAGTATTATGTAAACTTGGTTTTGGGTTAGGTTACCTTTGTTACTCCGTAAATACTATCTCGAAGAGGTGGGGTATATAGAGTAAGTTCTGAGTGTTCCTCTCCAATGTAAACGAACGGTAAATAAATTGCTCTAGTCACTCTAATTGTAATAAATGAATGGGTTGGAGTGAAAAGAGTTAGCGGAGTTGGATAACCGAACGCGGCTTATGACCGTGCGTTAGACGCATGATGCGAATTTCGCATACGGCAACGGTAGTGAAACGGCGCCGCGTTGCCACGTGTATCGTTTATCCGCGCATTTGAAGAAAATTTTTTATTTACAAAACATCTTTGTAGAGTTTTACACTAATAAATAATAGTAAACACAAATAATTACTTACTAAACGTAAGTACATGAACAAAAACGCAAACAGCGACAAAGCTACAAATTATTTGAACTCAACAGCTATTTTTTGTTCTGTGAAAATAGGGTCGTAAAGTCACCTATTGAAAATTTGAAACAGCCCCATCTCTAGGCAAGTAGCGTAAGGTGCACTTCATACATCTCGTTTTTAAATTTATTTTGTTGTTCGGGAATTAAATAGTAATATTAGTAATAAAAAAAAAACAAAAATTGTCGATGTTCGCATAAAATAATTAGTATCTATTATTTTAAGCTGTAAGTCCTCGAGGTATTTACAGTTTTCTGTAATAATTCAGCAGTACGTATCCAGGCCACTAGATCAACTTGTGTCTCGAGATTTTTAGGTTATATGTTTACGTACACTACAGTTATCAAGGCACTGTAATGTATAATGTATACATACGTTTTCCAGTGTCCCAGTAAATAAATTCAAGATTAATTAAAATGTACGTGAAGAACATGCGATGTGATCAAATCTAAAGGGCCAGTTGTTTACGATGTTTTTGGAGAGTCGAATGTAAATTCAACGCTGCTACGGATATAGGACATCAAATTAAAGACGCGGGTGATTGGTGCATTCCGATTTTTCGATTATTATTCCTTTCGTTAAATTCCGATTAACTTCAATGGACATTTTCATTAATTGTGCGTGGTGGTGTTTTATTGTTACTGTGTAGTCCTAATAACGATCTGCAAAAATGTTGTTTTAATAATATGCAACAACGGAACTAAGAGCAAATGTAAAATTCTGCAAAGATCTGGATTAACATCTATCAAGTAGGTATTAATAAAAAATGTTTAGGTTTAGGCCTTCCTGAGCGCGTGGTTAAAATTTATGTACTAAGTGATAGTTAACCCTGTATAACTAATTAGTATTACTAGATATGTGGTATTACTATAACATGAATACTTATAGTAACCAAGAAAAACTAGATATGATTTTAATTTATGGAGAATGCTGAAAGAACGCTAAAGCTGCCAGGCATTTATACCAACATCGTTTT